TCAAACGTCTGATTCTCTTAGGTTTATATGAAACAAAGTTCAATCAAATCAAAATTGATTTTTATGCCCACACTAAAACTTTATCAATATGATATGTTTATTTTTTTTATTTATTTTTTTTCAAATCCACGACTCAAATTTTCGAGAGAGAGAAAAAAAAGGAAACAAAATCTTATCAAACCTTATCAAATTTTCGAGAGAGGAAAAAAAAACAAAAAAAATTAGAAACAAAATCTTATCAAACCTTATCAATAATGAAGATTCGTGTTTCCACGAAAAGCTAACAAAATCCCGTGGTTACCAAAATCCTATCAAATTAGAAAATCCCATTAAATTGGTTAACAATATTGGAACGCATTTTGTTAGGAAAAATTTACGTAATTTATCTATCTAATTAATATCATATTAACGTGTGGGCCCAGTGATATTAATTTAGTATAGCATCCATTATCTCAGAATAATTATTTGTTTGATTTACAACATTAATTTGAATGGAAAAATATCCGTAATTGTTGAGATATCTCAATTCAAAATCTCAATTTTTTGGCATAAGAATTTTTAAATTTGTTACCAATAAAAATAGATTCCTATGGGATTAATATTTAGATGTATTAAATTTTGGTATAAGAATCTCCAAATTTGTTACCATAAGAATCTTCAATTTGTTACCATAAGAAACCCATAAAAATCTCTTATGGATTGGAGTTTATCAATATTTAGTATAGCATCCATTATTCTCGGAATAATTTTTTGTTTGATTTACATCATGAATTTGAAGGGCAAAAAATCCGAAATTGTTAGGATATCTCAATTCAAAATCTCAATTTTTTAGCATAAGAATCTCAATTTGTTACCATAAGAATCCCATAGAAATCTCCTATGGGATTGGAGTTTATCAATAGTTGGTATAACATCCATTATTTTTGGAATAAATTTTTGTTTGATTATAACATTAATTTGAATAGGAAAAAAATCCGTAATTGTTGGAATATCTCAATTCAAAATCTCAATTTTTTGGCATAACAATCTTTAAATTTGTTACCAATAAAAGTAGATTCCTATGAATTAATATTTAAAATGAATTAGATTTTGGTATAGGAATCTCCAAATTTGTTACCATAAAAATCTCCAATTTTTTTGGGATATCTCAATTAAATCTGTTACCATTAAAATCTCCAAATTTGTTACCATAAAAATCTCAATTTTTTTGTTACATGTGTTTTTTTCAAAATTTTCATTAATAGTAAGTCAAACTATTTATTTTTTCTAGTCAAACTTACTATAAAAGTATTTTTCCAACAACCTCTTTATATTACTATAGATTCAAATCTTCTTAAATCATACCTTACTAGTACAATATTCGTGTATTACACGGGTGCTTGTTAAAAAATTATTTTTAAATTTTAAAATTAATGAGAAAAATTATTTTAAATTTTGTTTACTTATATATATATATATATTATATACTTTAAAATGACACTTGTTACAAGTGCGACTTACATTTGTCATATTATAGTAATTTTTATAATTTATATCATACAACTACTTGAAATATAAATATATTAATTAATAAATAATATTATTTTCTAATTAATATTAAAAATAATTTTATTATTGTTATAAAGATAAATATGATTTATTTCCTTATACATACAATATGGATGTTAAATTGAAGTTCATCAAGAGATGATTAATTTGGTATATTATATATGTAAAACTGATAAAAAATACAAAAAAGTTATTAACTTTTAAAATACATTTACAATTCAATGGTTATAATAAGAAATGATATTAAAATGCAATTAATACATGTAACATGATAATAAATAATCAACATATTTATAGATAATCCGAACCTAATTATTTTTGGATTGGAAGTAAATTAAAATTTACTCAAGCCTAATAAGCATATAATTTTGCCACATAGGATCCCGAAGCATGCGAGTATACCACGCAAGTTCAACATGTTTTGAATTAATGTATAGGAGGATTTAATAATTATACTATTTATCATTGAAATGATAGTTTAAAACAATAAATAGTTAGTAATAAAAAATCAACCTAAAGCGACACTAAATGAGAAGAGTATTGTATTAGTATAAAGAATAAACTCTTATATATTCAGATGATGCTTTACGGTTGTCTAAATCCGTTTCTATTGTCCTCAGACGAATAACATAATAAATAAAAAATGATAGCACATTTTAATGTTGGGGTGATTGTTTATGAATTTAACTAGTTTTTATTTTGTTTGTTTTTTAACTATAGTTAATTTTAAAAAAATGTAGTATAGTTAATTGTTAGTAGATATATTAAAATAATATTTAAATAAAATAATTAAAATTAATTTGATGTAAAGTAAGAGAAAAATGATTGAGAGTGATCCTTAGTTAAAATTATGTGAATGGCCGAATAGTGAATTAAAGTTGATGTGATGTGTAAGAATGATTGGCTGATATTATTTAATTATATTGATAATATGAGAGATAGTAGAGTTGAGTTAAATTTGAGTTTTGATTTTTTTTTTACTGTACAAACCATAAACCATCGCCCCTAATATTAATATTAATTCAAAAGTAAAAAACTCAATAGTGCCCGTAATACTATATGTAAAATATATTTATTTGTTGTTGCATGGTCATTGCAATTATTATTTTGTACGGATGACTTTTAGAATTGATACAACTTCGTGGAAACATCATTTAAGGTGGGAAATGGGAAAAATACAATTAGATTTTTTGTACAAACAATTCATTGAAATGTATATCTTTTTCTTCATTCCTTTGCTTTAACGACAATTTTGATGATTTATTAAGCATATATTACTACGGTACTACCAACTTCGTTTCAAATGCATGCCATTTACGTTCTCAAAATGCCTGTGTAAGTCAGTGTAACAGTTTGACGAGACTATTAGATGAGACTATATGTTATGTTTGTGTGTGAAAAAAATAATGTAATATTTTAATTTACATTATTTTCTTAATGTTTAACATTATAAAGTTATATATGTTTATTAAAAGAGGATGACTGATTTAAATCATGCCGTTTGCTAAATCACATACAAGAACATCGCAGACAAACAATTAAACTGGTCGGCAAACATATTGGCGCATGACAATTGAATATAAAAATATGTACGTTTGTTGAAAAAAGTACAGTCTATTCATTTTTGTATAATTTTAAGGTTATTTTTTAAAAAATTAAGTAAAAACAATAAAATTTAAAAATTAAAACAAAGACAACCAATGGTGTTAATAGTTAATACATAGTTAAGTGGCCCGAATCTTTTGCTATCCAGTTGAAAGAGGAACAACTTGGAGTTTGATTTATTCAAAAAGATATACTTTTCTAACCTGTTAATTTAGTACGGCGGATGGCCCAATTATTTATTGAACCGATTGACCAATTCATATGTGATGCATTTTATTTAATTTAACAATAAAAATATGTATTGTTGACTCGAACGTAATATTTCCCCTTTTTTTTTAACAAAAGTATATGATTTTGTTGACCAAGCTAAGGCCGTAAGGGCATTCACCAAAACATAAAAGCTGAGCTCACAGTCAAAATTGTTAGATCATGTGGACTATTTATTGTTAGATCATTTGGACTAATTAATCTTAATTTACTAGTTATGAAAGTTATTTAGGATGGCTCGTGGAATTTACCACTTTATTTTCAACAATATTGTTTATCTAAAATATTATTTATAGATCAATGTTTTAGTATTTAGGCCATATTGAACACATTTGAGGCAAAATACTTGGAAATTAATGTATTTGGAAATTTTGGCATATTTACCTAATCAATCCATGTTATATTTAATTAATCATTCTCTCTATTATTTTTACTATTTTATTTCTATGTTCGGTTCATAAATGAGTTGGTGTAAAGTTGGATAAGGATGATAATATTTCTTTAACATTTTATTGAAAAACGGCAAAGTGTATGAAAAATGACATGACACTTGTTTTTAAACCGAAGTAATACCTTTTTAGTCCACAAAGTAAAAAATAATAAAGTCTAATGTAATTATTGACGTATCTTATTTACTTAAATCTATTAATCTTTGGCAACATTGGGGTAGGTGGACATAAATCAGAAATTAACAAGGGACAAAATTGTCAAACTAAATGGCACTCTAGCGTCACAGTAATGCCAAATGCTAATTAAAACCTACACATATCTACCTTATATAGTCCTTTAATTAAAGTTTCAACTTTAGGCTTAGAGCATAAAATTAATTCTCAATATGCCTAAATCAAAAGTATTTAGAGTTGTTGAACTAATTGAGTTCTTCGTAAACTTGAGGAGTCATTCGTAAAGTTGAGCTCATTATAGACACATTTCCATTTGAATTCGAACGTTAGGCTTGATAAATAATAATTTTTATATTTTTCTTTTAACTTTGCTTGATAAATAATAATTTTTATATTTTTTTTAACTTTACTATATATATAACTTATTAAGGTTCAAACTCGTTTATTAGTTTTATAAGGATCCGAATCCAGACTCAAATACAAAAAACTCGAATTCGACTTACTTGTTTGTAGTTCTAGAAGTATTCATCTCTAAACTCGGGTCATTATTTCCCATTTAAACAAATTATAAGATAAATAATATCTCATATAACATTTTGAGTTTAGCATCATAAATGGGATTAAGAAAGATTAAAAAATAAAATTTAAATTCTAAAAACTCTGTGTTAAAACTGCAAATGAGTTGAGTCGAGCATGGACTTTGTCGAGCTCAGACCGAGTTTTTTTCTTCACTGCTCGAGCTCGAGCTCGAGTCCAAACTCGCTCGAGCTTGATTCGATGCTGGACAAAGTTCGAGTTCGACTCGAAATTAACAACTAAATTTTAAATATAAAGGTACTACTTTTAATATAAATTGACAATTTTGGCCTTGATGTTCTAATATTGATAATTAAACTATACAGAGTATTTATGTAAATAAAAAGTCGAGCTGCTCGTCAAGCTTACAAGCCTCTTGAAATGATGCTCGGGGCTCGACTCGTTTGTTCGATTGAACTGCTCAAATTTGACTCGAGGTCGAGTTTAACCGAGCTCGAGTCGAACATTGACTCGAGCGTTTGTGAACAACTTGTGAGCCACTCGACTGGTTTGCAGTCATAGTCTACCTATTTCTTTTAACTATGCAAAATAATATGAAATTTTTGGGCCCCCATTACTTTTCTATTGTTTCACAATCTTTTGATGAAATCCAAATCACATTACTTTAATAGATGCATTAAATTATTATCCAATTAATGAAAATTATAAAATAGCCCCTGAAAAAACTCTCTAGTCTGTACTCTGTACCCACCCGCTACCGTACACCCCTCACCTAGAATGATACAAAACCTCTCCACAACACGCGGCACGTCCAGCGCGTGGCGCGTGGGATAAGCAGGAGAACGGGTATATATGATAGTCAGGTAGTTGCTTCATATTCGCTCTCTCAGCTCCATCTCCGTCTCACAGTGGGTTACTGCAGCCAAGTGCCGTACGCAATTCGAATTGTTCTCTGGTTTGTTTTCCTCACAGTAGATATAGGATTTTAATGTGAAGCTGTTAAGGTAGGTTTGTACGTATCTAAGCGTGGATGAGTATTTAAAGGAGGTTTTGTCGATTGTTGTGTGTTTTTCGCAGAGATGGCAGGGAAGGACGACGCCATGGAGGCTCTCAAGAGGGAGGCCGTTGATTTGGTGTGTAGTTCTTTTTTGTTTTGTTTTCCATCGATTTTTCGTGGTTTTCAGTTTTCTTTCTTTTTTTCGGTTTATTTTGTTGATGGTGTTTTGCGGTTTTCCAGATTTGGTTTAATTGATTTTTTTTCGTTTGTTTGTAGGAGAATATACCGATCGCGGAGGTTTTCGAGAATCTGAGGTGCTCGAAAGAGGGGCTGTCGTCGGAGGATGCTAGCAGGAGGCTCGAGATATTTGGTCAGAACAAGCTTGAGGAGAAGGAGGTCAGCCTTTTCAGCTAACATATATATTTTTCTTTCTTTTGTACTAACTTTACTTTTTGTTTGATAGCTTCTGTTTCCTTGTTTTCTGGGGGGATTTGTAGTGCCTGATCATGGTTTTTTACTCTTGACTTGATTTGAGAAATTGGATGAAAATTTTACAGGAGAGTAAATTTCTGAAGTTCTTGGGATTTATGTGGAATCCTCTGTCCTGGGTGATGGAAGCAGCGGCTATCATGGCCATCGCTCTTGCAAATGGAGGAGTATGCTCTCTCTCTCTCTCTCTCTCTCTATCTCTCTCTCTATCTCTGTGTGTGTGTGTAAAATTAGGTTTTAAGTCATTGTTGTGCTGAATCTAGTGAAGAATCCAGTTGCATAATTCCCTGTATGTGTATGGTTTGAAGAAAAATCTCTCTCTGTGTGTGTGTGTGTGCAAGCTTTTTGGTTTCTGTTGATGTTCGTGTGTGTGTGTGTGTGTGCGTGCAAGTTTTTTGGTTTTGTTGATGTTCTGTTGCCAATATAGTTGCTACTTTCTTTTGTTTCCAAATATGGGTAGTGGAAGGACCAATGTGAGTTTTGGTTATCTATTCCAGGGTAACATAACCCCATCCATGTGATAAATTCTACTTTCAATTTTCTAATTTCGTGTTTATCCCTAAACTTAATTGCATGTTATTTGTGTTGCAGGGGAGACCACCTGATTGGCAGGACTTTGTTGGGATCATAATTCTTCTTGTGATTAACTCTACCATAAGTTTCATAGAGGAGAACAATGCCGGGAATGCCGCTGCTGCCCTCATGGCTCGTCTTGCACCTAAAGCAAAGGTTTATATCTGTTCTCATAATTGTTATTCTTTGTCCACTACAAGATTATGATTGAATGAAATTATTCTTAGGTTCTTCGTGACGGGCGTTGGAATGAGGAAGATGCAGCCGTTCTTGTTCCTGGCGATGTTATAAGTATAAAATTGGGTGATATTATTCCAGCCGATGCCCGACTCCTTGAGGGTGATCCTATGAAGATTGACCAGGTTCTTTTCTAAATTTTCTATAAATTTTCTGTTCTCTTGATGTGAAAGTGTGCTTTTATTTTATATTTTAACCTTTTGCTGGTTCTTGTTTACAGTCTTCTCTAACGGGTGAATCCCTGCCCGTGACAAAAGCCCCAGGAGATGGTGTTTACTCCGGCTCTACGGTCAAACAGGGCGAAATTGAAGCAGTGGTTATTGCAACTGGTGTTCACACATTCTTCGGGAAGGCTGCCCACTTAGTGGATTCCACTAATCAAGTGGGACATTTCCAGAAGGTGAGCACTTGAGGATTTTGCCTTTAGTAGATATTGCTTGTGTTTGAAAATTCATTTTTTTAATGATTAAGCCTGCCATTCTATGTGTATGACACAAGGCCTGTATGTATGTTCGTATTACTATTTGAAGTTCTTTGGTGGCTATTGACTTCTTTATTTATTTTCTTCCTTTTTCTTGCTTTCTTTTTTGTCTCTTGAGTTGCATCATTTTCTATGTTCTGTTGATTTCTATAGTACGTTTTGGGTTTCTCATGAAATGCTTTTGTGTGTCAATTGAAGGTCCTTACTGCGATCGGAAATTTCTGCATATGCTCGATTGCAGTGGGAATGGTCATTGAGATCATTGTGATGTACCCAATTCAGCATCGTGCTTATCGTCCGGGCATTGATAATTTGCTCGTGCTCCTGATTGGTGGAATCCCTATTGCAATGCCAACTGTCTTATCTGTTACAATGGCAATCGGTTCACACCGTTTGTCCCAGCAGGTATAATTGTATTTTGATGCTTTGGTAACTGGTTGAAGCTTTTCGTTCCTGGTTTTTCATTTATTTGGTTTATGTATTATTTTCTTGCCAATAATCTATTCAGGGAGCCATCACTAAGAGAATGACAGCAATTGAAGAAATGGCTGGCATGGATGTGCTTTGCAGTGATAAAACTGGGACTCTCACACTAAATAAGCTAACAGTTGACAAAAATCTCATTGAGGTTTGTTGAAATACTTTGAGCTTGTGTATCTAAACTTGAATTTAGCTTTGCAAACTTCTTTTAACTTTTGCATGTCGAACTCTAGGTTTTTACAAAAGGAGTGGATGCGGATACTGTAGTTCTCATGGCTGCCCGAGCTTCTCGTCTGGAAAATCAAGATGCCATTGATGCTGCAATTGTGGGGATGTTGGCTGACCCCAAGGAGGTATGACTATATGTATTTATTTAATATTTATTATTTTATTTATTTTCTCTTGTTGTTCTGGGCATGAAGTTTTATATAGATCTCTAGTACAACGATTAGGAAAGTGTAGTTTCTCGTTTGGTTTACTCACTTATCAGTTTTTTAACTATAACTATATATTATGTCTTTCAAACAAAAAGGCAAGGGCAGGAATTCAGGAGGTCCATTTCTTACCATTCAATCCAACTGATAAGCGAACTGCATTGACTTACATTGATCGTGAAGGTAAAATGCATCGAGCCAGCAAGGGAGCCCCTGAACAGGTTTGTCAGAACTTTTTTCATAGATAACATCTTTCGGTTTTTGCTATTGTTTTTCTCTTGACCAATGAATGCCATGTTTTGTTCCTAGATACTGGACCTTGCGTACAACAAACATGAGATTGAGCGACGAGTCCATTCAGTCATCGATAAGTTTGCCGAGCGAGGACTGAGATCACTTGCAGTTGCATACCAGGTGACGTAATGAATTAATAATAACGTTATAGTTAACTTTAATTTTCATTTGAATTTGGAGACAGGTGTATGTGTGGCTGAAGCTAATTATAGTCATGAATTGGCAACCGTTTTTTGTGCTCTACAGGAAGTTCCTGAAGGAAGGAAAGAGAGCGCCGGGGGTCCGTGGAAATTTTTTGGGCTCTTGCCACTTTTTGACCCTCCTAGGCATGACAGTGCTGAGACTATCAGAAGGGCTCTGAACCTGGGCGTAAATGTTAAAATGATAACTGGTGAGATTGGTTGAGCTAACGCGGTTATATATACGTATTTCGGTTAATTGTTTGGGATATAAGAGTTGAACTGAATATGAAAAATTAAAAAAAAAAATGGAAAAGAAACAATTCTCATAGTTTGCTTTACTATTGTGTTTTATGCTGAACGAACGAGTTTCCAATTAGATACAACAACAACAACATACCCAGTATATTCCCAACAGGTTGGAGTCTGGGGGTCAGTTGTACGCAGACCTTACCCTTGTAATTATACAAGGAGGCTGTTTCCGTAGCGACCCAAGGTGCATTGCGCCGTTTGATATATTTTTTTTTTCTAGAAACTTCACTAATAGAAGAAGCACTAGAATTTAATTGAGTCATTTTGATCTAGTCCATTATTAGCACTATGCCAAGAGAATTGTCAACAATGACTCTTCCAGCTCCATTTGCAATGGACAAAGAGTTTCCAATTAGATAACTGCCATTTTTTTTATAAATAAAGCTTCAACTGCTACACCGTTTTATTATTATATGAACTTTACATGATGCAAATATGCCTTTCATCTTTCATTTTCATTTTCATTTTCATTTTCATCAAAGGAAATGACTCATGTTGGATCAATATAATATATATCAGGTGATCAGCTTGCTATTGGAAAGGAAACAGGACGCCGCTTAGGTATGGGAACAAACATGTATCCATCGTCTTCTCTATTGGGACAGGACAAAGACGAGTCTATTGCTGCTATGCCTATCGATGAATTGATCGAGAAGGCCGATGGCTTTGCTGGTGTTTTCCCTGGTATATTATAATATTATATTTCCTACTCTTTGTTTCGTGTTCCCTTTTTCCCATGTCGTGTTAGAGTTTTTTAAAAAATTTATTTTTCTCTTCATCTCAGAGCATAAGTATGAAATTGTCAAGCGTTTGCAAGCTCGTAAACATATATGTGGGATGACTGGAGATGGGGTGAACGATGCTCCTGCCCTTAAAAAGGCTGATATTGGAATAGCTGTTGCTGATGCTACTGATGCAGCCAGAAGTGCATCTGATATTGTGCTTACTGAACCTGGTCTCAGTGTGATTATCAGTGCTGTCCTAACCAGTCGAGCAATCTTTCAGCGGATGAAAAATTACACGGTAAAAACTAAAAAAGTCTACACAAGTACACATTCCTAGATATGCCTGTACGCACAACATTCTGTTTCACTGTGCTAAAACTAGCTTTACCGATCATGCAGATATATGCTGTCTCCATCACTATCCGGATTGTGGTACGCTTTGAGATAATTGTTTTTTTTTTTTTTTTGTTCAAGACATAGCATAAAAGGCTGAGTTTTTGTTAAATTTAGTTCCTGTTGTATAATTAATTATAATCATACTTCTGGTTTATGTGATGTTCTTCACAGCTTGGGTTTATGTTGCTAGCGCTCATATGGAGGTTTGATTTCCCACCGTTCATGGTTCTGATTATTGCCATACTTAATGACGGTAAGTATACTTGCACCTGCATTTTATATGCTTCACTCTCACTTTCGCACGCCGGTTAAATCTGATTCGTTCACACTTTTTTTCCCAGTTTCTGAACTATCTATTTTTTAGTTTTTTCCTGATTCTTGTGCTTAAAATGAAAAATGAATAAAACTCACTTGACTTTTTGACTTGCAGGGACCATCATGACAATATCTAAGGATCGGGTGAAGCCTTCTCCTTTACCAGACAGCTGGAAGCTAGCCGAGATTTTCACGACAGGAATTGTTCTCGGAGCCTACTTGGCAATGATGACCGTCATTTTCTTCTGGGCAGCATATGATACTGACTTCTTCCCTGTAAGTGCCTCATTTACTTATTATACTACGCTATTAAACTTTATTACATCTAGTTTAGTGGAAAAAAAATATATATATATTTTGTCAGCTGCTTTACTTTATCCTAACCTTTTGTCCACAAAAACTTACAGAGAGTATTCGGAGTCAGGTCTCTCGAGAGAACAGTCAACCCAAACTTCAGAATGCTTGCCTCGGCAATATACTTGCAGGTTAGTATAGTCAGCCAGGCCCTCATTTTCGTAACCCGATCAAGAAGCTGGTCGTTTGTCGAGCGCCCCGGATTTCTTCTCGTTGGGGCATTCCTTATTGCTCAGCTAGTACGCTAACTCTAACCCCCCTCTTTCAATAAATTTATCTAAACGTGATGATATCACATACATATTTATTTACCTCAATAAATTTTAATTTGTGTGTTTTTTGTTAAAAATGGCAGATTGCTACTCTGATTGCTGTATACGCAAATTGGAGTTTTTGCGCAATCGAGGGGATAGGATGGGGTTGGGCCGGGATTATATGGCTCTATAATATAGTATTCTATTTCCCACTCGATCTCCTCAAATTCTTCATCCGATACGCATTGAGTGGAAAAGCCTGGGATCTTGTTATCGAGCAAAGGGTACTCAAACACCCTTTTTTTCTCAAACTTAAATTTTGTGAAGCTTCTGTTTTAATTTTTTTTTTTTTTTTTAC